TATGAGCGAGATGCCCATATGAACATGGCAAATGCTAGCATTTTTTTTTCTGAACAAATGTGAGTTTTGATCACATTGGAGCCCGTGTACTCATGTGCCTTCTCTTAAAACGGAACATTTTATGATCAATGAAATTATTGGCTGTGTAGAAAATTTGTATTTAGAATGCTACTGATTTCATATGATTTATGCCACCTGTTGCTGATCTCTACAATTCATATCTGAAAAACAGCTATAGATTAAATTTGTGTTCCTTGAGAATGTAATAGCTCTACACCTAAATAACAGGGCTATAATTATCTTACCATCTCCTCACAATGTGACTTTTAGTATCATTTCAGGAATATGTAATTCTATTTGCATCCTTTTACATTTTTCCTGAACGAGGTGTGGTGGATTGGAGGTTGCCTGATGTAAACAGACAGGGGAGTCCATTCACATCCAGCCACCCTTTAAGCTATCATGGGTCCACCCGTGTCAGCCAGGCACAGATGTCAAATAACTGACATCCGTCCATGGCGGGATCTAGGGGGGTGCTGGGGTGGACTATGCCCCCCCCCCCCCCCCCCCCCCCGATTTTAGTTGTGCCCACCAAAGCCAACCCTTACCTGCCGCTATACTGCCCTAACCTGCCACTATCCTACTGTAACCTGACACTTTACCGCCCTAGTTTTGACACTATACTGTCCTTGACTGACACTACACTGATCACAGTTATCGGTTGTGTGGGGAGGAGGAGCTCTGCTGCCTGTGCCCAGGCTGTTTGCAGTGCCGTGATGGGAGAAGGAGTTGTGTTCCATCCTCTGCCCTGCCAGGACTGACCCCTGTCCTCTTCCATGCTGACCTCCTATCCTCTGCCCCCTGACATTTTTTTACTACACCCTCACGTTGGACAGGGTAGATTTGGCCCTGCATCCGTCTCATTCGTTTCTTGTTAGGCAGGGGATCTGCTCATTGATCCCCTGCTGATCAGGGCAGACTCTGCTTCATGTAAAATGACCCTAGTGTGCATTGCCTTTTTTTTAAATTTGCCTCTCATAGCACTTTCAACAGCCATGCCTGTTACAAGAATCCTATGTCATCTTTGTTATGGCCAGCTAACTACTTTATGACATTTCTGAGACACACAGATATAGACGCAAAGAGTCAATTTACTGAGGAGGTCAATAATTAGGTCTTCAGCTGCAAATGAACTTGCAAAATGTAACAAAAATGCTCTTATTCCCCACTGTGAAGTTTGAAATGAATGGAAGCATTCAGTGAAAATGAACAGTCTTTAGTGTACTCGCTGAATAAAACATCAAGGCTTCCTGTCAATGCTGTCCAGTTACTGAACTAAGTACAGTCAGAAATGGAAACATTTAACTATTGGAAATGACGTATGCTGAGTCTGTCCAGCCTTCATATCAAGCAGATCCAACCGTTTTCAGAAATTCTCAAGAATTGTATCTTCTGTTGGTGGTTTTGGTATTTGCATAGTAAATTCCAATTGTTAAAATGTAATACAGCGTTGGTGTGAGTGTGGAAGGTCTAACTCCTTTTATCAATAACATATTTTGATGAATCAACTGACAAAAAAATGTCCTCTGCTTACAGATGGCATCTAAACTAATCAGGTAACATAACAACTAATCAGGGCTTTTTTTCAGCGGGAACGTGAGGAAATGCAGTTTCAGCACCTCCAGCACTGATTGTGTGTAATAGTATGGGGAACTGGGGTGTGATGGAGGATCTAATAATGCTGGCTGCTAGGGAATCTATTGTTGCATGGTGGTATATTGTTGCTGGTGGGGATCTATTGTTGCTAGGGGGTCAATTGTTACTGGAAGGGATCTACTTTTGAGGGAGGGATCTATGTTTCTGGCTGCTGTGGAGAGTCAGTTGATGCTGGCTGCTGGGAAATCTGTTGTTGCTGGGGGTATTTTGTTGTGGGGTTCCATTGTTGCTGCTAGCTGCAAGTGATCTATTTTACGGATTTTCTTGTTGCCATGAAAGATTTCCATACAAATTACTTGGCACCACAAAACGATACTTGGCTCTGTATTCTCTAAAAGGCCTCATACTGGGAGGTGGGTGGGGGTTGGAACCAAGGAACGGTGCTCGGAAGCAGGTAAGGGGAGGAGACAAGAAGTGGCTCAGAAAGGGGGAGTTCCTGCACCTCTTTTCTGAGAAAAAAAAAGCCCTGCTCCTAATACTTTTTTTTTTCATGAACCATTTATCATAATACTGCAGGGTTTGGGTGGGCACAGACACAGTATGGCTTTGAAATTTGTCCGTTTCAGCCAGGATAGGCTGAGATTCAACTCATGTATACGCAGGCTGATTGTACCAAAGTCTATCCATCGATCGTTTTGGGTACAACCAGCTTGTCTTATTGAACTTCAATTACTGTCAGAGGCTATAGCTGCTTGCAGTGACCAGTTTTATACCCGCTGGAAGAGGTAAGAATACTTTTTTCAAGGCACCGTGTGTGTGTGTGTGTGTGTGTGTATATGTATATGTGTATATATGTGTATGTATGTGTATATATATATATATATATATATATATACTGTGGATATATTTAATAATGTGTGTATGTATATGTGTGTGTGTGTGTTATGTATGTATGTATGTATGTATGTATGTATGTATATATATATATATATATATATATATATATATATGCATATGCGTGCACCCTGAATGTTTTTGTGCACGTGTAAACAAGGCTAATTGACTCAACTATGTTTGAAAATATAGGAACTGGGGTGTAAAAAGATGGCAGCAGGTTCTCTGGGCTCTTTGGTTGTAAAAGGAAGGTAGTTTGTTCACCAAAGGGCTGGAGAGCAGTACAATAATAAGTGACTGCAGGCAATAGTGAAGCATGGTGGAGGTTCCATGTAGGTTTGGAGCTGCATTTCTGTTAATGGAGTTGGAGATTTGGTCAGGATCAGTGGTCTCCTCAATGCTGAGAAATACAGGCAGATACTTATTCATAATGCCATACCATCAGGGAGGGTGGCCCCAAATTTATTCTGCAGCAGGACTACTAAACTATTAACACTTCTATTTCTGAAAGCATTTTTCACACCTGTCCAAAATGTTTGCACAGTGCAGTGTGTGAAAGAAAATAGCTTCACTCCTCCATGTGTGCTCAAACATGAGTCCTCTTGTGTAAAAACCAGCTTGTGTAAAAGCCACCAAGTGAAAGCTGTGGTGCTCTACTCCAGCATATTCTGCTTGAACAAATTAAATATTGCCTCCCCTTGTTATGGTATGGCTCATAGAATAACATAAAAATACTCCATAAAGCTGTTTGCGTAAGTTTATTTCAAATAAAAATCAGTAAAGGCAGTCAACTGATAAAAATTTTAATTGGGTATTCATATATTAACACATCTCTAATGCAGGCCATAGATTTCCGAATTTTCTTGCCGAATTATCGGCCGATAAAAAAATCGGGAAACGATATTCATACCGTTACTGGGGAAAAATGTCGGCCGTTTTTTCTTAATTTTAAGAGATTTTGAAAATCGGCCATGCTGGAAAATCCTGGGACGATTTGTTAGATCGACCGATTTTCATGGTAATTTATGGTCAAATCGTCCGTTCTTCTGGACGATTTGACAATAAATTGACTATGAAGAAAAAGAAGTAATAGAAGAAATAGATTTTGCAGGAGAAGAAGAAATAGAATATCAAGAAGAATAGAAGAAAAGAGGAGAAGATGAAATAGATTTTGCAGAAGAAGACGGAGAAGAAGAAAAGTTGCTACATTGTATCTGTATGCATTTCGGATACAGATGTTTTCTATTCAAGTACAAATAGATACAATGTTGTTTCTCTTCTTCTTCTTCTGCATAATCTGTTTCTTCTGTCAAATATAATAGCGGGTCTCTATGCAGGGACACCGCTATTATATTAATTGACGGCTGTAGACGGGACTAAAAAACCCACAGTCCTTTTTTTTTTTTTTTTTTTTTTTTTTTTTAAATTAGTGGCAATGTCGGCCGTCTGAACGACCGATTTACGATTTTTAAAAAAAAAAAAAAACGGCCCGATTTTCCCCACGTCTATGGCCTACATTAGAGTATTGCAGCCACAAATCTGTGTATTATGTGTACTCCCCAGCTGATTGCGCGTTGTTTCCTAATTGGACTTTCCACAGAGGCTTTTTTTTTTTTCATATTTATATTATTCACATATACAATTTTCTGGAAATTCTGCTGCTTTACAATGCAGGGGCTGGTGCACAGTCCCGCCTGATCTGTGCAGGGGCTGGTGCACTAATCTTAGTGCATCACAGTGTGTTTTTTTTTTTTTTTTTTTTTTTTATAACCCAGCTTTGAGATGTCAAAAAAATGGCCAGCCAAATGGTGCAAGGTGGTGGATTTCACACTGCGCTGTAAAATAAATACAGCACACAATACTTTTTTTTTCAACCCACACCAACACACACCAATGCAACGCAGTGGTGTAAAACTGGGCAGATAAGGAGACAAGGCATTTTGCCTTGTCATGTGGTGGGAATACACTGGAATAGCCGACCAATGCAGTACCACCATATCTGCTGTGAATGGGCCTTTAGCATTTATTTTTAGGGAGAGCACTGCACTATTTGTTTTATTTTGTTTTGTTCTTGTATGAATCACATGTTGTGCAGGCAGCACTATGTTTATATTTTTAGTCACACGATGATTTGATAGAGTAGTGCGGGGGTACAGAGGGTTTTTTTTTCCCTTCTTTTAATGTACACCTTGCTATGATTTGCTCTTCAGGTAACTATTAAATATCTCATCCTAATTTTTACTGAAAATACCATTTTGGATATGTTCCTTGGCTAATACAGGACTACCTTTTAACTTTGTAGAATCTGGTAGCATTATTACACTATGTTAGTGAAAATTAATCCATGTAAGGTGACAACCCATGTAGTTTGACTTACGATGGTTTAATACTTTTTCCCAGTGTTTGTTTTTTGTCATATCATCTAATAAATATATTTTGATCTTTTGCAGGTGCTACAAAACATTCTAGAAACTGAGAATGAGTACTCAAAGGAGATCCAAAATTTGTTATCCAATTACCTTCTCGTCATTTACAATCCAGTGAAAAGTAAGATTTCTGACCTATGACCTTTGATTATGAAAATACTGCATTAAATTTTTCAGTGTTAAAATTTTTCCTTTTACAAACTATTGGATTAAAAGTCTAGAGTAAATTGAGCTAATATAGTTTTAGCTAGTTACAGCTACTATAAGCTGACCATACACTATACAATCTAATTGTACAATCTCCTTCAGCTCTAAAACTGTGTAATAGAAGGGCAGTTGGATGCAAATTTAAATATATTGTTTTCTTATTTTTGTCTTTATACTACATACAGTGCTCAGCATAACTGAGCACACCCCCCTTTTTTGAAAAGTAGGATTTTAATCAATATCTCAATGAACAAAAGAACAATTTCCAAAATTTTGACAAAACTGAGTTTTATAGAACTTTTGTTTAGCTCATTACAAGAAAGTAAGGTTAATAATAATATAATTTAGAAATCTTCAGTTTTACTCAAATTAGTTGATGCAAAAATGAATACACCCCACAACATAAACTACTACGGTACATCTAGTATTTTGTATGACCTCCATGATTTGTAAAATCAGCACCAAATCTTTTAGGCAAGGAATGAACAAGCTGGCAATATATTGCAACACCTATCTTTTTCCATTCTTCAAGAACAACCTCTTTTAGAGCCTGGATGCTGGATGGCGAGTGATGCTCAACTTGTCTCTTCATAGGTGTTCGATTGGGTTCAGATCAGGAGACACACTTGGCCACTGAATCACTTTCACCACATTGTTCTTCAGAAATGCAACAGTGGCCTTAGATGTTTGTTTTGGATCATTGTCATGTTGGAAAAGTGTACAGTGACCAAGGGCACGGAGTGATGGTAGAATCTTCTCTTTTAATATAGAGCAGTACATCTGTGACTTCATGATACAATCAATGAAATGCAGCTCCCTGACACCAGCAGCACAAATGCAGCCCCACAGAAGGACACTGCCACCACCATGTTTCACTGTAGGCACCATGCATTTTTCTTTGTACTCTTCACCTTTGTGACGCCATACAGTTTTGAAGCCATCAGTTCCAAAAACATTTATCTTGGTCTCATCACTCCAGAGTACAGAGTCCCAGTAGTCTTCTTTTTACAGCATGGTCCATGGCAAATTTTAGGCAGGCTTTTTTGTGCATGGGCTTTAGAAGAGGCTTCCTTTGTGGACGACACCCATGCATTGCATTGCTCAACAGTGTATGCTGTACTGTGTCACGGGAAACAGTCAGCCCAGTTTGGCTTTCTACTTCTTTAGCTAACTGCAGTGAATTTGCATGGTGATTTTCTTCAACCCTTCTTATCAGAAGACGCTCTTGTTGAGGTGTTACCGTCCGTGGATGGCTTGGACGTCTCTGTGAGATGGTTGCAGTTCCATCTCTGTCAAATTTTTATCACATTTGCTACACTATTCTGACTGATTAAGTAAAGCTTTGCTGATCTTCTTGTAGCCTTCACCTTTCTTGTGTAAAGAAATTATTTTCTTTCTTAGGCCTTGTGGCATTTCTCTTCAATGTGGTGCCATTGGTGACAGCATGAAATGGGAAGGGTTTTCTTTAAGTAACGGCCTTTATAACCACCTGTCTGCTGGACACCTGTTTAATGAATAATTAGACTCACCTGTAGTTAAATTCTTGTTAATTAGGATTTTGTTGTCTAAAATTTAGCTTTGCTCCTAAGACTTTCATTGGGGTGTAGTCATTTTTGCAACATGGTCCTGAATGAATTTGTTAGGAAAAAAAACTTTTTTGTGTGTGCAAATCTTGTTTGCAATCAATGGCCTACATTTGTGGGAGTATTTTGTAGTATAGTGTCCCATAGAACATGTTGATTCTGAAAGGAAAGGAAAGGTTTTCTGACAAATCTGTTGGGGTGTACTCATTTATGCTGAGCACTATCTTTGGCAAAATTAAAGTAGGTTGTAGAAGAACTGCACAGTCATATTGATGTGTGTGTAAGAGATCACTAATTCTCTCCCCAATTTTAACCCCTTGGGCTCAGGTTTGTTTAAAGGATAAATTCACCTGTTAACAAAAAATAATACATGCATATTTTCTTTTTGCAGCTTTTTGTTTTAGGAGTTTAGAAAGCATAGCACCGCTGATGCCATGCAGGTCTTCTGAAGCCTGTCAGTGTAATCTGTCTGCTCGTACCCTGTATGAGCAAGCAGTTTTACACTGACAGGACGAATCAATGAACTACCAGAGTGCTCAACAGCCACAATGGCTGTTGGGACTTGTAGTTTTCTATTCACAGAACTCTGTGGATGAATGAGGTGGCCGGGCTGGCAGAGCCCCACACAGCCGCACTTTTTAAAAATTGTGACACTTAACAGGGGAAAAGATCTCCCACTTGCTGTCACAATGGGGGATTTGGGGTCGGGTCCAACATTAACATATTATATGTTACACCCTGAATATGAGTATGACAAGTTAGCAAAGGTGAACTTATCTCTTTAATTACTGCTGTAATGTTGGTACTCTTATGTAAGTAATAACCAGTTACATATTAAGAATTTACACGTAGATTGACCCTTGTGGAAGGACTTCAGTCACTGATATACCGAAACAATATCTGTGCTCATTGATTAAACTAGTGAAAGAAGCATATACTGCACCACAAAAACTGATAAGATGGTCTGATTGTATTGGCTATTATGGTCAGGTAAATTATATTTTCACTTTTGCACCAAAATTGAGATAACACTTACTTTATATTTCCTACACATTCTCATTCACATTGCATAACCAGTTTATGACCACCCGCCCATAATGTACTGTGTACAGGCAGCTGCTGTAGGCAAAGTGATTGTACACAGTGGGAGCCTATCAGCAAGTCCCGACTGATCGTCTGCTAATCGGCTGTGTAGAATCACAGCTCAGAGCTCTCTTGGTAAACAACACAGAGCTCTGTACAGTGGGAGCAACCTGTCCGTTTTTTTATGTCTGCAAAGCAGGGATGAGAAACTTGGAGATCGTTTAGTAAAAACAGCGCACTTTACACACATTACACATTGTTAGGCACACATTTACCATTTTATGTGTGTGTGTGTGTGTGTGTGTGTGTGTATATATATATAAAATTTCTGTATATATACCATAGTTTGTAGGCGCTATAACTTTTATTCAAACCAATTAATATACACTTATTGGGATTTTTTTTATTTTATCTGATGTGTAGCATAATACATTTTGGCCAAAATTTATGAAGAAATTAGATCTTTGAAATTTTTTTTATTGATATGTTTTATATACTTTCAGAAAGTATTTGTGTGAAAAAAAATTATATACGTTTTATTTACAGCATTGCATGACCGTGTAATTACTAGTTAAAGTAGCGCAGTGTGGTATAGCAAAAAATGGTCTGGTCATGAAGGGGGTAAAATCTTCCAGAGCCGAATTGGATAACCAAAAAAAATCGGCTGCTTACATTTTGCTTTTTTCTGAAAACTCCATCACCGAAATTTTCCTCTGGGGCTGGGAGTTGATGTTCACCATAACTAACCCTGTCTATGCTGTTCCGACACTGTCCTAACAAATGGTTAAAGCTTTAGAAGCTGGATTCTGCTTTCTTTGTGTTGAGGTGATATTTGGTGTGTCCTTCCTTGTCGATGGGGACAGATTAAGCTTCCTCTCATTTTGAAATTGTTCAGACCATCTTGTGGGCCGCACATACTGTATGTCTGCTCCAAAGACACACCTGGAAATGTAAACATGTTTTAAAATGTATTTTTTAGGTATGCTATGCGAATGGGAACACAAACACATAGTGAATGGCCCTTAAATTTGACTAAAAAAGTGGAAACACTATAAGTCAGTTGATTCATGATGTGACCTTTTAAATTGTTTGGTCTTGAGACTTCACCACTGCAATTTCATTGGTCATAAATACTTTGCAGTTTAGTAATGTTAAGAAAGACAGAAGCTCAGAGATAAATATTTAAATATACAAACATTACCATTGTCACCTTTGTACATTTCTGAACTTTATGATGTGAGCTTATTTTACAAATGTGCAGCAAACAATTTCATCTGCTACCATCCAAGCTTTTTGATTGTCTGTTATATGAACCGAGAGTATATTCCTGAGCTAATACTATAGAACTAGCTCGAAAGTATGCTTAATAATTTTTCTTTGCTAAAAAATTCACTTACATATGTGTTTCTTTAAGGCTTAGTCCAACTAGTATCTCTTACCTAATCGGAAACCTGGAGGAAATTTGTGCCTTCCAGCAGATGTTGGTCCAGTCTTTGGAAGAATGTACCAAGTAAGTCCCCCACCCCCCAAGTGTATCTCAAATATATCTGTGCCAAGTTTAAGTTAACCAATTTCTAGATTCAATAAGAAAACTTGGGAGTCTAGTTTAGTTCTAATTGTTGCAGTTGTTTAAATAATGCCCTTCAGGGAATAATGTACCACATAATAAAAATAATTATTACAATATTGCAATTGACAACATTATAATCCATGATAAACTTGCAAGCAAATATTTCCTGAAGCAATAAACATTTTAAAGATTTAAGGAAGTATAACAAAACACCCTTAAACCCTTCTGTTTCCAGTGATCACTAAAACCTTCATGTCCATTTTTTTTAAGTTTTGGTATTCACTGGTTTACTTTTTAACTTCTTGCATATCAAAATTATTTTCACACTGTTTTTCTGGCATGTATGGGGTTCTTATTTAGTCATTTTGTTTTTAAAACATCCTTTTATTATATTTTTTGGTAATGAGCAGAGAAGCAAACATAAACTCTACTGTAAGTAAAGTGATGTTAAAGGCAATTTTTTTTCTTGTTATACTTACCTGCTGTGGTCATTGGTTTTGCACAGGGCAGCCCCAATCCTCCTCTTGGGTCCCCTGCTGGTGCTCCTGACCCCTTCCTCTTGCCGAGTGCCCTCAAACCAAGAACCTTGCTCTGGGGCACCCAAGCAGGCTCACTCCTGATCCGGTGCTTTGCATGTCCGATCTCACATAAAACTACTGCTCTGCTCCACCCCCTCTCTCTCCTCATTGGTTTTCTGGCGTTGACTGACAGCTGCGGGAGCCAATGGCTCCCACTGCTGTGTCAGTCAGTGAGGAGGGAAAGTTCCCGGAGGGCCGAGGCTCTTGTGCACATTGCTGGGTTGTGATGGGGCTTAGGTAAGTATTGAGGGGGGCTGTACACAGTAGGTTTTTTACCTTCATGCATTCTGTACTGCATTAAGCCTTTACAACACTTTAATGCATAATATATTGAGTATATTTTAATATTTTGAATATTTTAGCAATTTGTCTTCTATTTATCCTTCATGTACCCTTCATGCAGTAATCCTACATACAGTGCTGTGAAAAAGTATTTGCCCCCTTCCTGATTTTTATTTATTTATTATCTATTTGTCACACTAAAATGATTCAGATCAAACAAATGTTATTAACAAAGATAACCTAAATGCAGTTTTTAAATTATTTAATTTATTAAGGTAAAAAAATCAAGCGTTTGCGATAGCTGGCAGTAACTCTTTCACATCATTGTGGAGGAATTTTGGCCCACTCTTCTCTGCAGAATTGTTTTACTTCAGCCACATTATAGGGTTTTTGAGCATGAACAGCCTGTTTAAGTTTATACTGCAGCATCTCACTAGGTTTTAAGTTCGGATTTTGCCTAGGCCATTTCAAAACCTTAATTTTGTGGGGGGTTTTTAGGCATCCAGAGGTGGACTTGCTGGTGTGTTTCAGATCATTGTCCTGCTGCATATCATGTTTGACTGTTGGTATGCTGTTCTTTGTATGAAATGCTGTGTTGGTTTTATGCCAGATGTAACGGGATGCACACCTTCCAGAAGGTTCAACTTTTGTCCCATCAGTTCACGGAATATTTGCCCAAAAGTCTTGGGGATAATCAAGATGTTTTTGGCAAATATGAGACGAGCATTTGTGTTCTTTTTGGTCAGCAGTGGCTTTCGCCTTAAAATTCAACCATGGATGTCAGTTTTGCCCAGTCTTTCTAACTGAATTATGAACACTGACCTTAACTGAGGCAAGTTAGGCCTGAAGTTCTGTAGATGTTGTTCAGGGTTCTTTTGTGACCTCCTGGATGAGTCGTTGTGCTCTTGGAGTAATTTTTCCTTTTTTTTTCTTTAAGCTCTTCCCGTCCGGCCCATGTCCGTAAACGGCCAGACGGGAGTGCTACCGATGAGGGTGGACATTTCTAAACGTCCCCCACATTCATTGCCTGTGCATTGTGCGTGCTCACTGGGAGCGCGTGGCACTATGATCTCCAGACACAGCAGAACAGAGATCACTGTATGGGACCTCAGTGTGAGGTCCCGATTCCTGTGATCACTGATTGGCCAATCAGTGATCACATGAACAGTAGTAAACAAGATGTCACTTCCTGACATCATTGCTTACTACTTGTGAATTCTGTGAATGATCACAGAGGTCACATGGTACACGGCTATTCACAACAGCCTTGTACCATGTGACAAGCTGTGACCAATCACAGCTCGCACAGTATTTCTCAATGGCTGCAGGAATGCAGCCAGAGAGAAGGAGAAATGATTGCTGTTACAGCATTTATGGGTGTAAAAGCAATCAGTGTAAAAAAAGAAGAAAAAATCTTTATCACCCCCCACAAGTAGTACAGTGTCTATGGTGACACTGTACTGCTAGGATGACAGTATGTTAAAAGAAAACAAATCAAAACAACATAAATAATATAAAAAATAAAAAAAATGTAAAAACATTTTTTGAAAAATGTATCATTTTTGGTTATAAACTAATTTTGGGTTTTTTTTTTTTTTTTTTTTTTTTTTTTTTTTACTAAAAAGATAGATGAATACATTTTGGCCAAGATTTATAAATAAAGATTATTCATTTGCAAAATTTTATAAGAAAAAAAACACTTTTTTTTTTTTTCAAAATTTTTGGACTTTTACTTATATAGCAAAAAAAAAAAAATCCCAGTAGTGAATAAATACCACCAAAATAAAGTTATATCTGTCTCAAAAAAATGCTAAAACATTCATATGGGTACAGTGTTGTATGACCACGCAATTGTCATTCAAAGCGCGATAGCACTGAAAGCTGAAAATTGGCCTGGACTGGAAGGGGGTGAAATTGTCCGGACTTATCCACAGTCTCTGGTCATTCCCTGTACTATGTCCGCAGTCTCTGTCTCCTGTACTGTGTCCGCAGTCTCTGGTCATCCCTGTACTATGTCCACAGTCTCTGGTCATTTCCCTGTACTGTGTCCGCAGTCTCTGGTCATTCCCTGTACTGTGTCCGCAGTCTCTGGTCATTCCCTGTACTGTGTCCGCAGTCTCTGGTCATTCCCTGTACTGTGTCCGCAGTCTCTGGTCATCCCCTGTACTGTGTCCGCAGTCTCTGGTCATCCCCTGTACTGTGTCCGCAGTCTCTGGCCATCCCCTGTACTGTGTCCGCAGTCTCTGGCCATCCCCTGTACTGTGTCCGCAGTCTCTGGCCATCCCCTGTACTGTGTCCGCAGTCTCTGGCCATCCCCTGTACTTGTCCGCAGTCTCTGGCCATCCCCTGTACTGTGTCCGCAGTCTCTGGCCATCCCCTGTACTGTGTCCGCAGTCTCTGGCCATCCCCTGTACTGTGTCCGTCTCTGTCCGCAGTCTCTCTGGCCATCCCCTGTACTGTGTCCGCAGTCTCTGGCCATCCCCTGTACTGTGTCCGCAGTCTCTGGCCATCCCCTGTACTGTGTCCGCAGTCTCTGGCCATCCCCTGTACTGTGTCCGCAGTCTCTGGCCATCCCCTGTACTGTGTCTCTGGCCATCCCCTGTACTGTGTCCGCAGTCTCCCCTGTACTGTGTCCGCAGTCTCTGGCCATCCCTGTACTGTGTCTGTGTACTGTCCGCAGTCTCTGGCCATCCCCTGTACTGTGTCCGCAGTCTCTGGCCATCCCTGTACTGTCCCCTGTACTGTGTCCGCAGTCTCTGGCCATCCCCTGTACTGTGTCCGCAGTCTCTGGCCATCCCCTGTACTGTGTCCGCAGTCTCTGGCCATCCCCTGTACTGTGTCCGCAGTCTCTGGCCATCCCCTGTACTGTGTCCGCAGTCTCTGGCCATCTGTACTGTCCCGCAGTCTCTGGCCATCCCCTGTACTGTGTCCGCAGTCTCTGGCCATCCCCTGTACTGTGTCCGCAGTCTCTGGCCATCCCCTGTACTGTGTCCGCAGTCTCTGGCCATCCCCTGTACTGTGTCCGCAGTCTCTGGCCATCCCCTGTACTGTGTCCGCAGTCTCTGGCCATCCCCTGTACTGTGTCCGCAGTCTCTGGCCATCCCCTGTACTGTGTCCGCAGTCTCTGGCCATCCCCTGTACTGGCCATTCCCTGTACTGTGTCCGCAGTCTCTGGCCATCCCCTGTACTGTGGTCCGCAGTCCTGTGCATTTCTCTCAGCTCTGGCCATCCCCTGTACTGTGTACTGTGTCCGCAGTCTCTCTGGTCTCTGGCCATCCCCTGTACTGTGTCCGCAGTCTTCTGTCTTACTGTGCTCTGGCAGTACTGTGTCCGCAGTCTCTGGCCATCCCCTGTACTGTGTCCGCAGTCTCTGGCCATCCCCTGTACTGTGTCCGCAGTCTCTGGCCATCCCCTGTACTGGTCCATCTGGCCATCCCCTGTACTGTGTCCGCAGTCTCTGGCCATCCCCTGTCCCCTGTACTGTGTCCGCAGTCTCTGGCCATCCCCTGTACTGTGTCCGCAGTCTGTACTGGCCCCAGTACTGTGTCAGTCTGATCCGCAGTCTGGCCATCCCCTGTACTGTGTCCGCAGTCTCTGGCCATCCCCTGTACTGTGTCCGCAGTCTCTGGCCATCCCCCCTGTACTGTGTCCGCAGTCTCTGGCCATCCCCTGTACTGTGTCCGCAGTCTCTGGCCATCCCCTGTACTGTGTCCGCAGTCTCTGGCCATCCCCTGTACTGTGTCCGCAGTCTCTGGCCATCCCCTGTACTGTGTCCGCAGTCTCTGGCCATCCCCTGTACTGTGTCCGCAGTCTCTGGCCATCCCCTGTACTGTGTCCGCAGTCTCTGGCCATCCCCTGTACTGTGTCCGCAGTCTCTGGCCATCCCCTGTACTGTGTCCGCAGTCTCTGGCCATCCCCTGTACTGTGTCCGCAGTCTCTGGCCATCCCCTGTACTGTGTCCGCAGTCTCTGGCCATCCCCTGTACTGTGTCCGCAGTCTCTGGCCATCCCCTGTACTGTGTCCGCAGTCTCTGGCCATCCCCTGTACTGTGTCCGCAGTCTCTGGCCATCCCCTGTACTGTGTCCGCAGTCTCTGGCCATCCCCTGTACTGTGTCCGCAGTCTCTGGTCATTCCCCTGTACTGTGTCCGCAGTCTCTGGTCCATCCCCTGTACTGTGTCCGCAGTCTCTGGCCATCCCAGTCTCTGGCCATCCCCTGTACTGTGTCCGCAGTCTCTGGCCATCCCCTGTACTGTGTCCGCAGTCTCTGGCCATCCCCTGTACTGTGTCCGCAGTCTCTGGCCATCCCCTGTACTGTGTCCGCAGTCTCTGGCCATCCCCTGTACTGTGTCCGCAGTCTCTGGCCATCCCCTGTACTGTGTCCGCAGTCTCTGGCCATCCCCTGTACTGTGTCCGCAGTCTCTGGCCATCCCCTGTACTGTGTCCGCAGTCTCTGGCCATCCCCTGTACTGTGTCCGCAGTCTCTGGCCATCCCCTGTACTGTGTCCGCAGTCTCTGGCCATCCCCTGTACTGTGTCCGCAGTCTCTGGCCATCCCCTGTACTGTGTCCGCAGTCTCTGGCCATCCCCTGTACTGTGTCCGCAGTCTCTGGCCATCCCCTGTACTGTGTCCGCAGTCTCTGGCCATCCCCTGTACTGTGTCCGCAGTCTCTGGCCATCCCCTGTACTGTGTCCGCAGTCTCTGGCCATCCCCTGTACTGTGTCTGCAGTCCATTGGTTCAGAATATTTTATTTCTTGTTTTTCTCCTCTAAAACCTAGGCGCGTCTTATGGTCAGGTGCGTCTTATGGAGCGAAAAATACGGTATTTTAAATTGTGAGAAACGTCCATGTGTATGAGCAGTGTTAATCCCTAAGCAACTTTTTGGGTACCCTTGATCCTAATGCCAGTACGGTTGTTGAAATTAAAATTGAAAATGTCTGCACCTTGCACAAATGTTTCTCTGTTAAATCTACTCATTTGCAATAAAAATTTATTTTTATTCTGTATAAACATGTAACTCCTTTTGGATTTCCACCTTAGATTGCCCGAAGGTCAACAGAGGGTTGGAGGATGCTTTTTGAACCTGATGCCTAAGATGAAGAATCTTTACCTAGCTTATTGTGCCAATCACCCTTCTGCTGTAAATGTACTGACACAACATAGGTAAGGTTTAATATAAGCAAATACATGTTTTTGATTACACAGATATTAAAAGGTATATATTTTTTTTACTTGCAGCATGTTTTAATATACTTTCTGTTAAGCAGAAAAAGTGTTTTGAGACTATTATTTTAAATTAAATACAGATTAAATGTGTTTTAAATAAAATATATACAGTAAGTAGCTTGTGTAAGTAGTAATAATCATTTTATTCTTATCTGACCTGAAAGCTCCATTTTCAGCAGCCATTTCTCCATGATTTGTTATTGTAGAGACCTTTTGTAATTTGAAGTGCAGCTTAAACCTGGTATTGTTTTGAAGCAAATAATTCTGTTTTTTTGGGTTGCAAAGTAAAGGTGTTTCAGAAATTAACATTTGAGTTAAGATGGCCCAAAGCAAGCAGATTTATCAAGAAGCATGTCAGATACTCATTGTTTGAACTGTTTTTATTTTTTGTACACATTAAAATGTATATTTGAGACCTGATGATTACATAAAACCCCTGAAAACATACTTTATGAAAGCAGAAGCCCTTTAGAATAAAATAGCAGTAATTAAGTTGTTGCAATTAATTGTTACACAATATTTTATCTATTTCAATTCTCCACTGATCAGCCATAACTTTTTGATCCCTGACAAGTAACGTGAATAACATTGATCACCTCATAACCATGGCATCTGAAATTTCATGGGATATATTAGGTAGCAAGTGAGCATGTTGTCCCTGATGGTTTTAAAGCAAGGGAAAAAAAAATACAAGCGTAAGGATTTGAGAGAAAATTGTAATGGGTAAACAACATGGTCAGAGCATCCCCAAAACTGCAGCTCATCTGGGATGTTCCCAGTCTGCAGTGGCAAAAGTGGTCCAAGAAAGGAAAACCAGTGGATCAGTGATCCAGTTACGACTTTATGAGGAGCCAAGATTCATTGATTCACATGGAAAGCAAAGGCTGGCCTGTATAGTCCTACTGTAGCTCAAATTGCTGATAACATTAAAGTGATTGTAAACCCTCACCTTGTAAAAAAACTCATTTAGTTCAAAATCGAAATTAAAGGCAAAACATTTGTGTATATATTTTAAAAACGTATCGAAAGTTGATGAGATATAATAGACAGCAAGTGAGCATGTTGTGCCTTAGGTTGAAAAATGGCCAAGCGTGAGGAGTCAAGCAACTTTGATAAGGGCCAAATTGTAATGGCCATATGGGTGGGCCTGAGAAACTCTAAAATTGCAACTCTTGCAGGATGTTCCCAGGCTATAGTGGTCAGGACCTACCAAAAAAGGAAGGAAAAAACGAGTAAACCGGCAACAGGGTCATCGGTGGCCAAAGCTCATTGATGAATGTGGGAAGTAAAGGCTGACCCATGTAGTCTGATTCAATAGAAGGTGTCAGAACACAGTGTATCGCAGTTTGCTGCGTACAGGGCTGCATAGCTGAAGACCAGTCAAGGGTGCCCATGCTGACCTATGTCTACAGCCAGAAGTGCCTACAATGGACATGTGAGCATCAGAACTGGACCACAGAGCAATGGCAGATGGTGTCTTCAAAGTGTTGACTTAGATGTTGACCTACCTAAACATTATTGCTGACCAAGTACATCCCTTCATGGAAACCGTATTCCCTGATGGCAGTGCCCTCTTTCAGCAGGATAATGCACCCTACCACATTGAAAAGATGGTCCAAAAATTGTTTGAGGAACACAGCAACAAGCCTGAGGTGCTAAATTGGCCTTCAAATTCTCCAGATCTCAGTCCATCGAGCATCTGTCAAATCTGCTAGAAAAACAAGTCTGATGCATGGAGGACCCAACTTACAACTTACAGGACTTAAAGGATCTGCTATTGATGGCTTGGTGCCAGATACCACAGCATACATTTGGAAGTCTAGTGGAGTCCATTCTTTAATGGGTCAGGGCTGTTTTGGTGACAAAAGAGGGTCCTACTCAGTATTAGGTGGGTAGTCCTAAAATGGGTTAATCTGGTGTATGAGGTATGACAATTTAATTCCTGCATAGCATTATGGTGGTGAGTCACATAGCCATTCACATTCAAATGTGTTCTGACATGTTCTAACTTGCACTCGTCAGGGTCGCAGACCAGTTGACTCATTATGGAACAGTAGAAGAAATAACGTGTGTGCATTGTGCTGTTGGTGGAAAATGAATGGCAGGAATCAGGAGCAGCCGAATAACATCAAATTTTGTGTGAAAATTGGCAAAACTGTGAGTGAAACTTAAGCTTGCTTACAACAGGCTTATGGTGAACAATTCCATGAAGCAATCAAGTGTTTTTTAATGGCATAAGCGGTTTAAAGAGGGATGGGAAGCTGTGTACGATCATGCAAGAAGTAAGCAGCCAAAAACGCAAAGGATGGATGTAAAAGTGGACAGAATCTGAATCTATGTACGCTCAGATCAAAGATTGAGTGTTCGAATAATGGAAGAAGAATTGAACATGAACAGGGAAACATTGTGGCAGATTCTAACGGAGGATTTTTTAGAACGAGAGAGATTTCCGCAAAGATAGAGCCTCGTATCTTGACAAATGATCAGAAAGAACGTCGTCTTCAAATTTCATCCGATCTTTTGAAGACTGCACAAGTGTTTGATAGGGTTTTTACTGGTAATGAAAAATGGTCCTTCCAGTATGATTCAGAAACAAAACACCAGAGCATTCAGTGGAAAACCATGCTGGTATGTGAATTTGATCACAATGGGATAGTTCACAGAACATGGTACAATGGTCAACCAACATGGTTTACTTGGAAATTCTGAAAAGGCTATGAGAATCTGTTCTGGGGAAAAGACTAGAACTCTGGCCTGACAAATGGATTCTCCAACATGGTTATGCTCCTGCACATGATGCGTACGTGTTTGTGAGTTCCACGAATGTTTCTGGCAGTGGCACAGACTTCTAGAAAAATGCATTGCTTCACAAGGGGACTTTTGGCTGTTTCTAAAATTAAAAAAATCAGATTTGATAACATTTTGGACATTCGGCGCACTGTGACAAAGATACTGCACGGTGTTACAGAAAACACGTTTCAGGAATGTTTCTGGTAGTGGCACAGATGTCTAGCAAAGTGCATTGCTTCACAAGGGGACTACTTTGAAGGTGACAGCAGTCACTGGTGTATAAGTAAGCAAACCCTTTTTTTTTTTTTTTTTTTTTTTTTTTTTTTTTTTTTTTTCTTTTTTTTTTTCTTTTTTTTTTACAGTCTGTTCCAGAAATAAAATTGCCACACCTTTTTATAGGATTGTATGATTTGAACAGATTTACAGTATATAGCACCAACCGTTTACTCAGCGCTTTACGTATGTATCACTTTATCTTAACCCCTTGACGCCGAGCATACGCAAATATGCGGCCTCTTGGCATCTGGGCCTTGACGCCGTGCAGCCGCATATTTGCGCGCAATTAGAAAGTACATAATGTGCTGAGAGCGCACGCCCTGCATGCTCCCAGCACATATGTCCGTGATTCACGGAAAGGTCTCAATCTCCCCTTTCGAATGGGACCTTTTCCGATCATGTGACGGCGAATCACGGTGGTCACATGACCCTAGAGCCCCGCCCCGCCTCTCGGCTTCTGAGCCCTCTTAAAGGGCCAGGAGGCGCCGAGCTAAGAGGTTAAGTAATGTGCAAGTTATCAAATACACAGGCCCATAATGGAAATGTTAAAATATGCTCTGGCCTTAAAGGAGTACGAAAGCTGAACTGGTAATGCCTGCATTAATGTTCATATTTATGATGTTGAGCAAATCACAAAATTTCATCTTAATGTAATTGGCTCTAACCATGCTGCCTTAGGCTGGCTATAGAAGAATCTTGCTTAAAATGTTTTTTTGTTTTAAGAACGTTTGTTCGATTTTCTAATTGTTAGTGGGGTCATTAGTTTTCAACCACAGTGGTGAATTTGAAGGAGCAGGATGGAAATGTTTTATTAAATTAACACATTTCTAAATCTAAATTAAATTCATTCCAAAAATCCATGTTACAAGCAAATTCAATTTTGAATAACTTTTGCACAATATTCAGTAATTGAATGCTCAAAATTTTTTTTTTATAAATGTTCAATTGAAAATCTTCTAGTGTATAGTCAGCTTTATATACAGTAGATGTACCGCATTATGAAATTGTCTGTTATGCTAATGTTCATCTCATATTATTTTAATGGTGCAAACTGTGCCTGTACGTGGCATCTAGAACACAGTGCTGTTTTTTCTTCTTCTTCGCTTGTTAAACATATGTCAGTTTTGTATTTGGGCTCATTACCTCCTCTTTATTAGTCCACATATAATGGTCAAGGACCTTGACCGCTATATGTTAAGGTAGTTGCTATGGGCACCAAATAGTTTATCTTTATGGTACCATGTGTGTAGTGAGTTAATGCATAGAATATTTGGAGAGTAACTGGAGCATGGATAAGCAAGGCAGTGACTTCTTTGTGTCTACTGCTTACCCCGTGCTTGGCTGTGTGCTGGAGAGGTGATGTCATCCTCCTATCAGAATCTAGGGAAAGGAGTCCCAGCCTTCTATCAGAACACAAAACAAACTGCTCATATTCTGTTGCAGCATTGTGCGCTGGTTCTCTCTGTACAATGCGGTGCCTGTGTGCCATCCTGAGGCCTGCTAGTGCTGAAAGTTCCTGCTCGATCTACTACAAGCAACAGTCCGCTTCACAAGTGTGAGTTGGATATTAAGGAAACTACTTTTGTACAAGTAGCTTGTTAACACATTTGCTGTGTGTAAAGACTGCTCTTGCACCTGGGATAACAGATGTCCTCATCCTGCCTTATATCATGCAAGGAATCTTACACAGGCTAATGCACTGTAGTCTTATATTTAATTTTTATGTGCAAAAATGCTTTTGAGCATATAGGGAATTGATAAGAGCAACACATTAGAATATTTTGGGAAGTCTACATGATATTTCCTTTATTAGATGTAAAGTATTTAATAAACTCAAAGTGCATATTGTTGGTACAATACCTGTTCAAAAA